GCCACTTAGGTCAGGTTTCATTGACTTGCGGAATGTAACTTTGTCATTTCAGCATACCGCGCATTTCGCCTGTCATCTCTACTGTTTTTGTGACTATATATCTATTAATGTAGAAAGAAGCAAAAACATAAATAGCTTGATATCTTATTTATTAATCCACATTGGACGTTGGACAATTCTCTTAAATGATTCATCCTTTTTTGTTTTACTATGATCGATATCCTCAACGTTTGCAGCAATAACAGAAATCACTGTAATGACAATTTGTGCTTTACTTTCATAATCACCTCTCTTGTGTGTTGTATGATATCTTGTTACAAATGACCTCTCCGAAGTTCAGAAAATTGTATCCACCCTATGTTGCTAGACGTCTGCACAAATGTACGCAAACTATGATATATATATATATAATATATATCCTAGGATCACCTTAGGTTTCATATTCATCTTCTGAAAACTGGCCATAAATTGTGAACTCCATTCTACATTTTTCATCGTTTGATTTATACTACTGAATAATACTAAGTCAGTTAGTAATATACATGATACACCTTCTACTTAATAATTAATCATTTTTATTAGAATTTATTATATGTTACTATTGTAGAACAATAAGGCATTAGGCGAAGAAGCCTACTTTGATCAGAAAAAACCAACAACAGAATACCTGTAGGCGTAGGTATCTATATGCACACATAAATGCTAAACATAAATGTCTATTTATGCAATTATTCATCAACTTCAAAAAAGGGCGGTATATTTGTGCATAGGGCAAACTTATGTGGTTGGGGAAATCTATGTGTGTTATGTGGTTTGCTTTTCAAGTGCATTTTACTAGTGATGTAATAAACCACATTACTGAAGCGATTAATACACCAGGTAAGATTAATCTACTTTGTATTTTGGAGTATATTGTAAATAATTATAATGAAAATTAGCCGTAACGTACTTACTAGCAGTGAATTGAGCGTTATGAAGAGTGTTATGTGAATTAGCTATGCATTCATAGATGAAATAATTCACTAATTTCGAGAATATGTGTTATGAATAGTGTTTATAGGCGATGAAATTTTTATCTGAGGATGTGGAAATTGCTTTTGATTAGCTTTTCTGTATCTTGGTTAAACACTTTATGATTGCAGATGTTCTATCATCAGGCTAGGTGACACATTTAGCATTTACTTTCTTCAAAAGCCAAAATTTTGATACATTCTCGGTCGAATATCAAATATTTCTAATCAGTTGTTAGCTTGCAGCGATTTCATTGGTTACAGGTGTGGTCACAACTTGAAATCTATTAAAGAACCACCGAAAAACAAGCGAGTATTGGATAACTGTTTCACCCTTCGAAATAAGTCATCCACCAGGATTCGAACTCAGAATCTTCCACTTAAAAGGGATGCCTGTAGACTATTCAGCTTCTGGGAGCCAATTTAATGGCCTTTTTAATCCAACTTCCTCTATTTGGTGGTTTATAGCGCACCAGCCAGCCACTGTCATTAGTGAGTACCTTACCTCTTATCTGAGCTGGTGGATCCCACTTGTCATGACTTTTCATTAGAATTCAAAGTAACTTCCTGCAAAGAGCTAGGTGTTAGTGGTCATTAGGATTATTTTCAAGTACTAAAGAATCTGAAATAGCTGTCCAATACTCTCTGGTTTTCCAATAATCATCTAATTGATGTCATCTTGTGAACACACCTGTAACCGAACGGTTTTCAGCCCTATGCTGGGCTGTCAAAATATGGGCTTGGAATTTTAAAGACTTTATAAACCAACGACTCTAACTAGATAACCACAGGAAAGTAATCAGTATCAGGTCTTAATTTCTTCTACATAAACAATGAACACAGGTATTAGATTGGCAATGTTATAATTCACTGTTTAGCGTCTGATCCAGTGGCAGTGTAGTAATACCAAAAATATGGAAAACTGCTATTTATGAGAACTACGAGCTGTTGTAAGTCAGAAAAGGTGATCTTTCCAGTGACTGGATTTTCATTTAGTTTTTAAGTGTTAGCTTATAGGGATTTAATTTTCTGTTGGAGTTATTTTACGGATTCATGTATTCCTTAAAACCAGTGACTGAATAGTCTACCAAGTTGCCTTTAACCGGTAGGCTACCGGTTGGAATCCCGATAGGCACGTACTTTTGTTAGGTCGCAAACTAGAGGGAAATAGCTATCCAGTACTCCCTGATTTTCCCTTCGTGTTAGTTTGTGAAAAAACGTTTCTTGAAAACTGGAGCACTGTCTACATTTAAACAAAAAATAATGTAATCGCTATAAGTGGGCATAAATCATTTCTTAAGGGCAGTAGTGACATATGATAGAATTGCTTGTATGTTGTACACTACTATCTAACTTCAGGATTTCGAAGTTTATAGTAAACGGATTTTCACTGGGTGATATTTACGTAAAGAGTACTTTATTTATCTCAAATTTATCCATTTATCTCTATTTAATCGCTTATGATTAGTAATATTGTTAAAATCTCAAGAATGTATTGTGAAATAAGAAACTGATTATACCTAGTCAATCTTAATCAAAACTTAAATAAAACAGCTTCATAAAATGTTGTGGGAGTCACAGAAATTAAATTTATGTATTTGCATTTTATACACAAAGCGGAAATAATTTTCTTGTATATAGTTTAAATCATCAGCAAATAGGCCTCCTAAATGCAAGGTTTTTCTCAGACCAGAATATGTTAACATCCACACTTGTGATAAATTAGCTAAGTAGTTAGAGTTAATATCAGTACAAAAAGCCATGTAGTTCTTCCATTTGATTACACGTATTCATCATTTGGGTTGATATGTCATCTGTAGACCCATTTTGCCTAAGTTCATTTGATAAAGGACAAAGCTGTGCTGTGTTAATACCCAAATGGATGGCGTTTCGGTTACACCGCTCACTAATATAATAATGTGTTCACAAGATTTCTTAACCTAAATTGCATAGGTTTGCTCCCTCCTGTTTTTGTTTATTACAAGTTTCCATTTACTCAGGATGGAAGTTGCATCATTTCAATCGCACGAATTTACTGTTTACTCGATAAACAAAGATTTGGTGATTAACGTCTCTCTCAACTCGATTATTTCAATTTCCAACACCCTTATCCAGTCTAGAATACTCAACTACAAGACGAAATCTACCACTGTACATCCATCTTAATTCCTATATTCTGGTTACCTAACTGATTCGATCCATGAATATGACCTACGCAACTGACCTCAAAATTATTATATAGTATTCAGGAAACTAATATTTTTCTTAATTTAACCTATTGGGACTTTTAGCGGATAATGTTTGTCAGTGAATACTTTGGTTGGTTTAAATACCATCCAAGATTCAGTATTAACTTACGCAGGTCATGTGACGTTCCTTCCTTACATAGTAGTTCTATTACTGCTTTTAACCCCTTAATGTTTGGATTACCTTCATCACAATAAAAGTGGAGGAGAAGTGGTCAACGATTACATGCCTGCGCGGTGTTGTTTATCATCGATTGTCAGTGACTTCAGCAGGAGTTGAACTCAGTTTACCACTCAACTTCAGGGATAAACTCCGATGTCTCATGAGCTCTTATTTTTGTAATCTCACATGATATAGCAAAATAACCAACCATTTCCAATTAGAAGCACTTACCATATATCCAACATACCACACTAGGACTTTATAACATTCATTTTGAGTACTTACCGCTCCCGGCTATTAAACTGAAGATTGTTATTGTAGTCATGGTTACATGCTAATGAATTGTCACCAACTAGTTCTTCATTTTCGCTGATTCTCTAATTCCTTTGGGTTGATGATGACATCTACATGTCAGTTATTCAAAACAACTGGAAAAAAAATTAGTGAAACCTGGTTATGTGGTGTATCAGATAAATGAAATAATAAAGAATTCTTCACTATCAAACTGAAATGTGTCTACATGAATTTTTGCTCAATAATGCATTTATTTGAATGTGCAGAACTTCAAAATAATAACGGGAAAAGGATTTAGTAATAACATTCTAAATATTGTTGTTTTTGTCACCTCAAGGAGTAGAGGCAGTTTTGTTTTTGAGGAATTTCAACAATGTATGCTGGTGGTAAACCCGCGAGATCAGAACTAATAAACCAAAGTTTCACGAAGAAGACGAATTCAATCCAAACTAAACAGCTATTTGTTGACACAGCCACACTATAGCACCCTAAACAAAGGAGTTCACCAGGGACCTTGAACTGATCTGAAAGGCGAATTCGGATGAATGGAGAGACGTATTCGAGAGATAGAATATCCAAGTATTGGTTTGTAGGGATTTGATTGATTGGTTACAGGATTTCATCACGAGCCGACATCGGTTAAAGAACCATTGCAAAACCTGGGAGTACTGAGCATCTGTTTCGCCCTAGTTTGGGACTCTTCAACGGTACGCATCCACCGCCAGGATGGATCTTCTGGTTACAAGACGATCTCGTAGAACATTAAGCCAATGGAACTCAATCCAATGGCCAACTCATGAATTCTAACTTCTGCCAGTTCATGACATAGTACCACCACTAGCCAATGTCTTCGACAAGTATTTCTCCTCACACTTTTATACAATACCATTGCACCACAATAAATAGAAACGTTTTTGTACGATTCGATTCAAGAAGTTGCGCAATATGATTCAGTAAACAGAACCGAAATACTCACTCTAGCCCAACCCCAATCTAGACTACAGTTTTGGACTGAAATCGACACTGCTAAAAAATTACTTGGAGTTATTCGTGCAACAAGTTAAAGAATGGTGTCCTGCTGGATATTTTTGCAACCCTATAATCAATTTTTTCATAAAAATACCCTTTTTATCATCACATTATTTAGTTCAAGAAACTTTTGTTCACTCGGAATAAGTTTGTTTAACAAAGCTCCTCTTCTGTTTTTTTTGTATACTTAATAACTCGTGTTAATTCCAGTTTTACGACATTGTTTCCTTTTATATATTTGTTTTACCTCCATTTCAGATTGGTCGGGTGCATGCAATTGACTGTGATGCAGAAGTATCCAATCGTATGATAAGATACAGTATGCGACCATCACCAGGTGCAGGTGGTAACCTAGTGAAGTTATACGTTTATATCAGTTTTGAAGGGATCATCTATACACATCAGACAACAGACAGAGAACAAACACCTGTACTCACTTTTGAAGTTATTGCTACTGACACTGGAAATCCTCCATTATCAGCTGTGGCAAGTGTTCTTATCCGTATTCTAGATACTAATGACAATGCGCCTGTATGGATATTTCCAAAACAATTTGGTGCAAATAGTGTTATAAATATTTCACAATATTCAACAGTTGGCCTATTAATTGCTCAACTAAAAGCAATCGATTTAGATGAAGGTTTAAACGGTGAAGTGGTCTATTCTATTGTACATGGAAATGATGATGGTCTATTCGAAGTAGATCCAATGAGTGGAGCACTTTACCTAGTTCGTTCATTTCATCACTTAGCACAAACATTGAACTTGAAGTCAATACCAAGAGAAGAATTCAATGCTAGTGGATTATTACAGACTGGAGAATCAACAGAATTATTAGGCAAACTACATGAACAGATTTATAGTTATAGACTATTGCTGAAAGCACAAGATCGTGGAACACCTCCTCGGCATAACACAACAGTCTTGTATGTAGCTGTACTTCCATCGCAAATAGATAAACAACCGCTGACTGATCGTAATCCCATCGAATCAATGTATCATCATTCTGATTTAAAACGTCAGGCTGAATTAGGCTTACCTGATATACGAAGAATGGATCGTGATTTAATTGTTATGGTTGTCTTGATCGCATTAACTTTAATTATTTCAATAATTTTAATTATGGCGATATTTTTGATCCGGTGTAAAAGTCTACTCTGTATTCTTCCATTTCGTCGGTCAAATCATCGAACAAATCATCAGCAACATCCACATCAAAGAATCAACAATGCTAGTAATATTAATAGTAGTAATAATAATACTGATAATAACCTTCACTTAACACTAGAGAATAATTCTGTTCAGTCGAATAATATTCGTGACCAATTGTGGAGTAAATCATGGAAGGGGAAAACACTTCCAGCCGATTATTGTATAAATAAAAGTGGAGATCTACTGTCTACATCTTGTCAGGATGTATATAAAGCCGCTACACTCGGTAAGTACTTCTTTATAGGCATTAATTATGTCGATTTTTGCATTTGAAGTTTAGCGACAGAATAATCGGTGACCGTGCACATTACCCCGGGTTCAGTCTTTGGTCGACTCACTTTTTAACCTCTCTGGTAAGGTAGTAAGCCTGGTAAAGAGGAAAGGCTGGGTGTGTAGCTAGCGATCCCATCCAGTCAGATACAAGTTCCGATGCTACTGAAGATTTAGAGCTCGAGCTTGAAGCCCTGTGTTCCAACCGAAATGCGAAGGTACAAAATAGTATTGAGAATAGTGAAATTCTGTTAATTACTATTTGAGTACAAAGATTTCGTTTAACTGATTTTTATACAGTCAGAAGGTCGTCAAACAAGATTATTGCATGAAACTCTGGGTATTAGCCAGCAAGCCTGACAGTCTGACATAGAATTTCGTGTCTTCATGAGTATTTGTATATCTTTGCAGACATAAGGGCCATTTAGGAGAAAAGCTATCATGTTTTGTGTAGGATAACTAAGGTCAGAACCAATAAATTCATATTGTAAAAAAGTATTATGCCAAACCGGGAAATCATAAGTACAGTTAACATTACAGTAGAATTTGAACACCATGATGTAATATAAGTCCGTGTTTAATAGATTTATTTGATAGAACTAAGAGCAATAAATTGTGCTCACTATATCACCGTGTGATACGTCAAATAAAGTTAACTAACATAGAATTAAATTCTATCACATTACGCAAAATCTACTTCAACACAATTGTCATAGTAAGCAAGACTCTTAAACTTCAAACCTTAACGCCTTCGCAGTTAAATCAGTTTGAATCTTTTCAGTTAACTGTATTTTTTGACTTTTGAAACCTTTTCAGCATAAATGAGATGATGCAACTAATGTCAAACAGGGACAACTCAAAAATATACCAGATTAAGTAACGGCAGGTTTCAGACGGTTAGATGAGCTTTTAAAGCAAATATCCAATAAGTATAACACAGATATGTACAAATAAAGGCATAATTTGGGCACTTTGGTGGAATCCTCTTGCATATAACCCAGGTTTATTTAATGCAACTTTCCATATAAATGTGGAACTGTTGTAGAATCACGTCTTTTGAATGTTTTGAGTGTTGACTCAATGGAAAAAGAACCATCGGCTAACCTTTTAAAGCAAAATCCTGACTTCAGTTAGTAGGAACACATGACATCGTTAACTGAAAAACGGTGTGAAAGTCTTTGCGTTGCTATTTGACTGACAGTCAGTTTAAGATTCATCGTTGTAATGGTTGACGCTTAGAATCTAGTCACGTAGTCTAGCTATAAAAAAAACATAAACCTTATCTGTACCCCTTGCTTGCCAATTTAAAGTATATAAATGTTCTTCTTGGAACTGAAAACAAAGTCTCCGACCTAGTACAGATAACTATCACATAAATTATCCCGTCGCATATTACTACTGTTATTATTATTTCTCTAGGATCCAAGGGGAGCATACAAGTTAAAGAACACATCTAAATTTCATTCTGTTTTCTTCAGCCCTCTTTATCTAGCGATATGAAGATCAGTAGGGTCGCAAATCGTCATTTCCCATTCGGCTTCCACTCGTTGATATTCCTGGTGCGTTATGCCACTCAGTGGTTGCATAATCGTGTGTCCTATCCATTTTAATTTGTATCTGAATATTTCATAGTTTGGCGATAAGTTAGGTTCTTTGCCAGAGTTCCTCCCTTTGTTAATCCTTTCTGGCCATTTGACCTTCTGCATGGAGCCAGTGAAGGTAACTGTTCTGTAAAGCTCTCAATGTGTTGAAAGTGTTTCTCAAAATGCTACCAGCCTTGAGGCTATATAGAATTGAATTAATGTTGAAAATCTAAATCTTGTTTTATATGCTTACTGCAGTAGATTCCTAGACTGATTTCAAATTATTGAAGGTTTGTGTTGCCTTTCTAACCCTGAATATGACATCTTCGTCTACTGAGCCAGTAGATGAAACAATGCTACCTAGGTAATTGGAAGAAGTGGCGTCTTTCTTCTGTCATGTGAATCATGACAGCTCTATATTAAGCAGACTTTAATGTGATGGCTTAATATAGCAACTCGTAATCTAAGTGCTGAACCTCTATTTCACTCGTACTTGATCAAGGTAACTCTTGGCTAGTCGGTTTGACATGAAGCACTCGAATTCTAGCAGTAGGTATAATTCTATATAATGGCATTTATCTTCATATATGTACAATTACTTGAAATGTGCAAAATTTACGTATGTACTATTTTACATTCCTGGAGAGTAATACTTCTACTTTAATACGATCATCATCAGAGCATTGCTTCATCTGATTTACCCACCAACTCTCAATAAGACTCGTTATTAATGTCAAACTTTCACCAGTTATATCTTCATGAATCTAATTTCTTTCAACTTTTGAAGAATGAATATATTTCAGAGTTGATACTGTCTAGTTTCGAGATCTAAGCATTATGCTCATTAAGAATGCCTGTTTGAAGACAGGCCTGTAAGCAAATAGTGTTCACATTTCAAAATCTATCAGATTAGTTTCATTCAAGCCTAATCTTTAGTTAAATTTCAAAGTGCTTCACAATATATTTCACTATCCACTTAAATTTCTGATATCTGGTCAAGTTCACTAATCACTTAGTAGACAATTTCAATAGTGTTTACTGAAAACCGAAAGCAAAATACTAGCGATTTTTACAGTCCTACACTTCAGCGAAACTACGTGACTGTGCATCCGTCTGCTCTACATAATTATCCCTCTACCAACAGTGTGAAACAGGAGTATATATAAATCGAAATTGGTTATCTTGTGGTGGCTAGCAGTATAATTGCAGATATGCGTTTGAACCTATTTTTGACTCATCAGATGAATGCAATTACCCCTGAGTGTATCATCGTACTCCAACTAAGACAAAAATTCAATACCAATCACTTGAAACGCCAAACAGACAGCATGGCCGTGACAGCCACATCTTAGACTTGAAACTATGTATTCACGTTCTTAATTTTCCGCTGATAGATAGGGATCGAATTCATAGACTTTATTTTAGACATATTTATAAAGAATGTATAAGTTTTAGTTAGGTAAGGTGATTAATACAGCTTACTAGTCTATTCTTCTTCTGTCTGAATAGCAAACTGTTCTAGGAACAAAAAGTTATTGTGAAGTTATATTAAAATGAGCATCTTGAAAAAAAGACGGAGATTTATTATTCAGTTTTGTGAATAATTTGATCCTTTGTGCTAAGAAGAATAGTTTAAGACTGTATGTCTGTCAAACTCTTGAAATTTGACTGAAAAATAAAACTGAGAATAAAAAAAACAGTTTGACGGAAGGTATTAATTTTCTTAGTTGATTGACGTAACTCAGTAGGATACTTTTAATCTCAGAATACATTTACATTATGAAAATGCATTAACTTAAGTTTACTTTACGGAAAAAAACTGTTTTATAAATCCCTATCAGACTTCAGCAATCCTGATTATATAATAAGATTAGTTTGATAACTCAAAACTAAGTTAGACATTTAGATCAATGATGTACTTAAAAATATTATATGCTTACTATTTCATGGATGGTGCTGGACTGGACTGTAGTCGCCTACTTCCTCTTTGACCAATCTGACATTCCTTAGTTGGAAAGCAAACTTCAAAGCTACTGTTTTGTCCACTGAATTATAGGTGTGATTTCCTGAGATAATGTGTTTCTCTACATCTCGAACAATAATAGTAGACATCAAATTGTGTTGAACACCCTTCAGGTGATCACAGCCTTATTGATTATTAGTGTTCGTCTGAAAGAAGAACTCCCCAAAAGTCTAGCTAATGGTCATGAATGCTGCATTCAGATATGTTGTTGTTAACTGTGAGGATAAATACTCACTAACTACAATGACTTCAGAAGAGGTGTTTCTCAAATTGAATAAATCTTGTACTTATAAATTATTACTAACCTCGTGGCAGAAGAATAAAGTATTTTACTCCTAACTGGGATTCCAAAACTGGGCTTGTCTCAGGGTCACTGAGGAGTAGCATCAAATGCTTTAAAACTATGACAAATCGGTTGCTTATTTTGAATTTCTCATTAGCTGAATTTAAGGTAATTTGAGTTCTTGACGGAAAATACGGATAAAAAAATATTCTCAACAGCTAAAAACTCTTTTGGTATGTAAATCTAGCAAAGTTATGACATCGAATAATTTGAGATATACAACTATGCTAGGACAATATAATGATAACTGCGATGACTTCCATCTATGAAGACAGTTTGTGTTTACTATGAAAGACCACAATGACGAGTAAATGTGATCTAAATCGCCAATGGCTTTAGTCTCGATTTTTGACTTTTTACAACTCAGAGTAAAATGCCTCATAGACATAGCACTTTACTGAATATCAACCGAGAACTTGCCTGCACACTTGTCTGATTATCTTAAATCAGTCCATCACATATTCTGTCACCTTTTGTTTCTTAGTTGTATCATTTTCTTCCCCCACACACTAATAAATTTCTACATCATATTAGCACTGCTGTTTACTTGATTCTTGCTAAATTTCAGTTGAATTCTATTCAACCCTGTTAATTATATTACGTCACTCAGTAAACTTATTTGATTTTCAGGATTTTATCGTGAGCTGAAATTGACTAGAGAGCCATTGGAAAACCTGGCAGTACCGGACAGCATTTCCGTCTCAGTTTGCGACTCTCCATCAGTGCGCACCCACCACAGGGATTTGAACACAGGACCTTCAGGTCCCAAGACAGGCTGGTAGACAATTAGGCCACTGGAACCCAATCCAGCAGCTCATGAATTCCAAATTCTGCCGATTTGCGATATAATGTGACCAATAGTCAATGTCACCGATGAGTATATGTCCTCACATCTGACCTGCTGTACCGCACTGGTCAATAGTTCTCCAGCCAATGTCAGCTCATGATAAAATCTTGAAACCAATCAAATCCTTACAAACCATCACTTGAATTATTCAATTTTATTT